TAAGTTTGTTTTTCTGTTCAGGAAATGTTTTCTCTATAGCAACAAGATGAGGTCTGAGGTTAAATGGTGCAAATGTGGACTTCACAGAAAGGAAGGTGGGCATATAAGAATCACAATCAGGATTAAGTGATTTACTGGAAATAACCTGTCCCTTTGCTGTCCCTGTGTTTTAGCTCTATGCTATCTTCTGGAAGAGAAAAGCCTGTGCCTTGATAGAGTTTTTGATTAATTCCCCTCCACATCCAAAAATACCAGCTCTCCCGAAAAAGGGTATTTCTTTCACACTCCATATTACACATGCCATATACTTTATTGTACTAGATACAACCTCTAAACATTTACAGTAAGTGCACTTAGTAACAAAATTGTTTGCCAAAGCTCATTGGCTCTCCCAATACTTTTGAATTACAAACACGGCATTATTTAAACAGGAAAAATTAACAGAGTCCTGAGTCTCCCACATACACTTCTGGTTATCAGAATTTTATCACAGGCAAATGGGAACATTTCACGGAGGCTCTTGTTAAAATGCTGGCAGCTGGCAGTGTGTTGCATTTCCATGTACCACAGAAGACAGCAGCATAGTTTAATATCCTTGTGCTCTGTGTTTTTCTTGTGGTTTAAGTTTGTTTTGTGAGGTTTTTGTTGTATTTTTTTTGTTTTGGTTTGGGTGTTTTGTTTGTTTTCTTTAAATATCAACCTCTTTTTTTCTTCTTGATAGATTTAGAAAAGAGGAGCTGGATGAACAGCTTCTTAGAAAATCTTCTAAGAGAGAAAAATGGAAGGAAAGATAAGGGCACATTTTCCTAAGGAGCTGTGGCTGGACAGGTGTGGGTGTCAGTACCTTTTAAGCTAACTCTCTATTGGAAGTGCCCTGTCCAATCAAATAGTAAAGCCCAAACAATTTGTCTGAACAAATGAGACTGCAGTTGCAAATCCCCTCCTTGCAGACATCAGGGTATAGCACAGACTGATGCCTCAGAGCAAGAACTGGTTTGGAAGGACATGACAGGTACACTTGCAATAACAGGAAAGCCCTTAACAGGACCAGAAAAGGAAAAGCCTGTATTTACCTCTGCAGCAAGTGGAAAAAAAGACCCAGTTTGCTAAGACTGACCTCTGCCAGCTACATCCAGCCTCACAGTCAGAAGGTACCCAGAACAATGACAGGGACACGAGGGGTGGGGTCACGCCTCCACACAGGGTGGGGACAATGCCCTAGAGAAATGGCTTTCCCCACTCTGCTTTGCATCACCGTGATTCACACAGGCAGAAAGACAGACTAGGGGCTTTGCATCAAAGCCTCTCCATCTTGAGGTGTTCTTTTTAATCCTACCTAGGAAGAGCAGTCTTCAGGGTGGACTTCTATTTCTTTCACAGAAACAGCTGCATGTTTTTTGTCTGTGGATACCCACTGCAGACAGATCTGGCTGCAGCAGCTTCACAAACACAAACCCCAGATGGCTTTACAGTAGTTAAGCATGGTATCTGGTAGCATACTCCTGGGGCAACACAAAGGTCAGAAAAAGCTACAAAACCAGTTTCAGAAGCAGAGCTCACTTGAGTTTCCCCTGCTCCTGGGACCCAGACTGGCCGTGGTTAAACCACTGCCCACCACACCAGTACAGATCAAAAGATAGTCCACGGAGTGACCCAGAAAGTTTCATTTCAGTGCAATCCCACACTGAGACAAATTTATGTTGATATTGAGAAGTTACTCAGCAGAGGAAGGAGAACTAAAACACTGGACATAAGACATGTCCTTTCCTCTCTGACATGCAAGTTACCCAGGCTTAATTTTCTCCATGAAGATAGCAGGCCTGCCTTTTCCTTTTTGCCAAGTGGCCCACTCCAAGCCTTTGTTGCCTGCTTGTTTAAATGCTGTTACAGCTGTGACTATCTGGCAGAGTTAAAAAACAACAATGGTGAATCTTGTGGCAACTCTGTAAAAAAACTGTTACTGGTGCACTAGGGACAGAGAGATATGTTTAATTTTAGGAATCACTGAAAAAGCCTTTTTTTGGTCTGCCCTCTCTTCTATCTGCTCAGCTTTTAGTATCTCATTCAGAAGCCTGAGCTGCCTGAAGCTGCCATGGGATGCCAGAAAACTCAGAAAAAAAAGGGTGCTGACAAGAAAACCAATGTGTCAAACATACATAGAATATATTTTCAATCTTTTATAAGAAAGTTTTTTTTTTAATAAAAAAAAGTGCTTTTTCTGACCAATGGGTTACCTAGCCTCTCTATATATGACAGCAACAGGGAATTAAAATTCAAAGGCCATCTTTTTAATTAGTTTTCATATTTATACTGCCACTGAAAATACATGAAGTAGAAAAACACATTTTCCTTGATCTGCAAATGATACTCCTTTTAATACACAGTTCCCCACCACTACAATTGCTGACACAAACACCATTACATTTGAACTTCAAGAGGATTTGCTTGGACCAGAGGCAATCAGCAACAAAAGAATTTTAATGACTGTGGGAGGATCGTTGGTATTTTAAGAAGTCTTCTAAAACCTTTTGAAGAATTTGAGATAAGTAAAAATAAGTGGGGTAATCTTTTTCCCTAAGTACATTGCACCATGTTTTCACATAGCAGAAGTGAGTTCTACAACTGCACAATGAGGCTGGAAAATCTGAATAGAAGAGCAAAACTTAAAAAAATTCTGAGATGAAAACAAATAGCTGGGAACCATTCTAAGGAACATAGCAAATAAATCCTTCTATTCCAGGCTCTGGTTTTTATTCTCTTTGCTCACTGAAGCTTTAATTTCATTAGCTTGCAAAGAACTACTCAATTCACAGATCAGATTTCTTAAGGATATATGAACAACATGTCAACAACACAAAGCACTAATCAAATTTTTATACAGCAGCCATATGCTCAGTGAGTTCCTCTAGAAGAATTGCACAAGCAATGTTCCTCCTGTTCCATTTGATCTGAAACATTGCACTTCACCTTTTAGAAGAAAATCCACCAGTTGCCAGACATGCTCCTGGATTAATATACGTGACAACTGAAGTTTAGCTGCTGCTAGGAATTCAAGAGGTTCAGCCTCTTGAATTGCTGAGTGCCTCGTTGGGTTGATCAATGTACCTGGACAACAACTGCCATCTGTCACAATCACAATGACAACACAAAACTTCATTGGGCATCTGTCTTCACAAGAGGCCTCTGGACCCACCCATGTCTCAAACATGAAGCTTGAAAATACCCCTGCTTCCAAGTTATTCACTCATAGCTTCTCAAAACCCACCAGACTTCCAGCAGGTTAAACTAGGGTGACTGATTTGCTGCTATTTTGCAACACCATCCTCCCACCCTATCCAGATGAATTCAGTAAAAAGCAAGCAAACATCAGTGAAAAGAACACTTGGCAAGGGCAACCCCTCAGCCCAAAACCACCCAAAGCCTAGAATATAGTGTCTATGGTTTTCTACTTTTGTGGGGATGTTAGGGACAGGAAAAAGTGCTCTTGCTGGATCCAAGGAAGAAAGGAATTCCAAGAACTCTTGAGAAAAGGAAACTGTTTTTCAGTCAGATGTCCTCTGCCTTTGGAGGCAGTTTACCTGCACTAGTTCAAGTATCAAGCAGGCACTAAGAAAAAATTATGAGTGGATTAGCAAGCAGATGCTTTTAAATTAAAAAGCTCATGCAGCCTATTCTTCTGTTTCTCAGTACAGCTCTGTGAATAAAACCAAATCAACCTGCACATTCACTTGCTCTCCAAATACAGTCAGAAAAAAAGACCAGTTTTGTTCGAAGCAAGTGGGTATATTCAAAACCTTGGTCAACTGGCAGTCAATGTTATGTTTATTCTCTCTGCCTACTCCAACTTCTGCAGTGTCCACACAAAACTAGCTCGACAGTTCAGGTGCATTTCAGTTTTACTGAAAGCAGTGTCAAAACTCTCACTGTATTCAGAGGAGGCAGGTTTTGTTCACTTGTTTCTCTTCTCTCTCCCAGCAAGGGACTGCCTATTCTAAGCAATTTTATGTTTGGAAGCATAAAATCCAAGCATCTCCTCAAAGCAAGAGATGCTGAAAACACTGCACTTTGCTGTGTTGACCCTCTACCCTCCATTTTTTCCCTGTCCAAATGGGAGAATACCATCCCTTAAGTTACATCCCAGGATGGTACAATGAAGGATATATATTGCTGGGTTTTTTTGTCTTGTTTTGAGGGGGTTATATTTAGTGTGTGGTTTTTTTTTCTTGTCTTTTTGGGTTTTTTCTTGGGTTTTTTTTTTGTTTTTGTTTTTGTTTTTGTTTTTTTTCTTCTGCTATAGAGACAAATTACAATGATGAAAACAGCATCAGGAATTTACTGTTGATATATATTTCACATTGTTAGGAGAACACACAGCTTCCTGGAAAGATGTCCCAAGTTTTTATCAGCAAGATCCCACCTTTGCTCACATTTACCCCTGTTAATGAGTTTTGTTTACTATCAGTGATTCTTGATATTCACATGAGTGACATTTCTCTTCAAAACAGTCTCATATGAAAATAAACACCTGTAAGCTTAGGTATTTATAACAGTGTACATGTGTGGCTACTATCTGAATAAGGTCCAGCCATTTGCAATGGATGAATACCTTGTAAAGTGTTGACTTTACAAAATAAAATTGTGTCTTGGTTCTTAGTAGCCCACTGCTTTTGAAACTTCTTTTGAAACCATCATTTGAATGGTACCCTAGAAATACTTCTCAGTGCAAAAATACAGGTGTTTTGCTTTCAATTACAAGAAAGAATCCATAAAAACATACCTTTTTTTTTCCCCCATTAAAAATGTGTATGCTTTTTGACATGAACAAGAAAACCATTCCAAGAATATGCCATAAATAAAATTTTTGCACACTACCAATCTGACTGTAGCCCTTTAAGAGCCTTAGGGATGTATCCTACTTTAAGAACTTATCCATAAAAAACTTGGTTCCCCTCACATGTTACAAATTTCATACTGCACTTCAAAGAAGAACCTTATATACATTGTGACTAAAGTACTGTTTATTTCATAATCTAAACAAACACTGGAATACAGTCTATGTTTTTCTACTTTCCGGCAGACTTTACAAAGAACTTTTTTTTTTTTTTCATGATTAAAACAATCTGCATACACACAGAACATGCATTCTCTAACGCCAATAATGAAGGTAAGAAGAGTCAGTTTCCCTCATCTTTCTGTTGCCTGTGTTAAAAAAAATACTTTTCTTTTTACTGTAGTTATGACAGTGTGGCTAAGGATACAAAGACTAGAGCACAGTTTTACTCCCTGCACAGAAAATGTTCATCACAAGCATGCTGATGTTGATACATATTACATGTCTATTAAATGATAGGCATATTTTTATCCCCTTTACTCCCTTTTTAAAAATACTAAGTGGCTACATGTAAATGCAGTGAAGCAGGTATAAGCTTAATTAATCAGAGTTGATTCAGACTGGCACCAAGATGCAGCAAAGTCCAACAAAGTCTCAGCAAGGCTTTCCATGACCTCCTCTGCAAAGCAACGATGTTCCCCTTTTTCAAAGTAGAAATCAAAGGCTTTGCAGCATGGCCAGTCCTGAGGACAGGGCAGTCTGCACTGGCATGTCAGGCCCCCTGGAAAAGATGCACTTGTAGTCCATTAGTGTTTGAGAAAACGTGAGTGGGTTACCTTCCCTAGGGCTATGCACCTGCCCCGTCCCACAGCGCTGCCTGCTGCTCTTTGTCGGGCACAGGGCTGGCTGTGGTTTCACACCACGGAGTGGTCATTGCTGTGGACGCCAGCCAAGATGGTGTGGTTGAGGGAGGATGCTGAGCGATCCGAGCCTTCGGCGGGGCCGTTGGTGCTCTCACTGCGCTGGCAGCAGAGGATCTGCTTGAACGTCGCACTCATTTCCTTGTCCCGGTAGGAGTAGATGATGGGGTTCATGGCAGAGTTGAACTCTGCCAGGAGCAGGAAGAATTTTTCATAGGCCAGGACATTGCACTGGGGACAGCAAACATCGAGGAGCAGCAAGACTAATCCTGGGGTCCAGCAGATTATGAAAGCACCTAGAAAGAGAAAGAATGGACAAAACACAAAGTCTACAAACATACTAATGCACCATTACTCATCAAAACACCACAAGAACCATCCAGACAGAAGCAGCAATGGTTAATTTGCTCTTTCAAGAGCATTGTTCCCACAATTTCTTTTCACTGACCCGATGACAGGGATGCCTTTCAAAGATCTGTAAATGGTTATGGGCAGCACATCAAAAGAGCAAGACACACCCCCAAGCCCCAGCCCCCCACCGTCTGAAACTCTGCTTGGCAAATACATTTACATTTAAAGATGATAATGAGGAACATTTTTGCCCTTCAGAAAAGTTAGAGAACTCTGACTAATCAATCTCTTGATCAGAAGAAACAATACTGCAATTTACTTCTCAAACTAATAATAACAAAGAAAACCTTTCTGTGAGTGCTGTGACTGAAGCATCAGTAATAGAAAAAGAGTGGTGCAGGCAGCAATTCTCAAGAAAAAGAAAGCCTGGGTCTTGTTAACCCATTTCAGCTCCATTATGTAATGGAAAGTCCTAAACACACATCCTTCTTCCACTCAAATGCTGTCCTTCAACGGATCTACATCTTTTCTTAGGGCTCTATTCAGTCGAAATTCAGAGGCTCATCAGGCTTCAATAGTGTCAGAGCCAAAGTCTTACACTGATTAAAATGCTTCCCCCCTTCTTTCTCTGTTTTCCAAAGCTCTGAGGAGAACAAAGCTCAGAACAAAATTCAGAGCTCAATGCAGAAATTAAATCAAATGCCTTGTACTTTATTTGGAATACTGAATTAAAGGAAGATTGCAGGGTTAGAGAGGCTTTAAATATAAGCACTGCTGGTGAAACCCTTACACACCAATCATGTCAGAACAAAGACAGGGCTCCTGAGATTTTCCAGGCTGCTTTACTGAGGTGGAAACCAATTTCTTATCATCACTGAGCAGAGTTAGCACAGGCAGCAGCAATAAGGGCTTCCCAGCAGTGAGTGCTGTTTTCAAACCGCTTCTCCTGTCACTGTGGTATTTATTTGTTTATATACTGCTCCCTTTTTTTCTTCAGTGATGGTGTCTTGCAGGACTAGCAGCTAAGTCAGTTCCCACAGCATGCAGACTTTTTGCCATGCCTGCTAAGAAGGTGCCAGCAATTTCCAGCTTGGGCAGTGCCAACTGTAAGCTGTGCAAACACCTTTCTGTTTGGACAGCAAACCCACCTAGATCAAACAGAAGATTTTTCCGAAGGGGTCTGCAAGCCTGCAATATAAGCCAGGTGACAGGCACTGGTTACCACACACACAGGCTTTTTACACACCAAAAAGCATCCCTAAACAGAATTTGCTTGCAGCTAATGGTGCCACTCAATGCCTGTCGCTTTGCTGACCAACAAAGCTTGCCAATGGAAAGAAGCTGAGGGGTGAATTACCAGCTGCCAGTAGCCATCAAGCCCTTTCACCAAATGACTTTGTCAGGGTCTCTGGCAGCAATTTGACAGCATGGGGATGAAACTCTCCCACGGTGAGGTGGTATCAAACACATGAACCCACTTCATAGCTTTTTTGTCTGGAGCTCTTTTGGATTCCAGCAGTCCTAGTTAAGAGTATTTGAAGCCCCTGCAGAAGGCTACAGGTTTTTGTCCCTTCTTTGTACCTGCTGCTGTAAAAGTAGAAAACGGTGTCTCTTTATTTGTAGTATTGTCCATGCTGATAGAATCTGCCCCCTGCAGACAAAAGCTCTGCTGACCTGGTTTTTACAGAAACCAAGTCAATAACTCGGTTCTAATTCAACCACTCACTATTGAAACTGTGCATGTTGTGTTCAGCCTCCTAGCTAGTAAGGCAGCAGTGGACTTTGTCCTAACTTAAGCATGTATTTTCTTCACTATAGGCTGCCTTGGGAGAACAACATCAGAGATGGGAATACTGCAAGTCATGGGATCTACAGGGAAGGACAAAAGACAATGACAGCATCCTCACCAGGCCTGTAGCAGCAAAGTCCAATGTGGAAACAATGGAGCTAGCAGGAAAGCTCTCACAGCATTGTTTAAAGTTGCAATTGAAAGCTTTCAATTGTCAATTTTATTTTATTAAAAATCTGTTGCTGAGGAACAACAGAACATTCTGTTGGCATAATTTTTGATACATTAGAAACAGCAACAAGAAGCTCTATGGTGAAGCAGATAGGAATTTGCTCCTGAGAAACCCCCAAAGTCATCCACAAAAATCCACATGCAGCTCACTGCACTGAACACTTTTCTCTCTGGGCACCTCAGTATCTCAGACAGGTCTGATAACATACTTGCTGAGGCTGCACTCAGGAAAAAGTGGACTGTGGTTGAGCAACCGAGTAATTGCTCTGTGCAGCTCAAGCTACACTGAAAAATGGTAAAAACAAAGGTTGCCTTTCCACTCAGCTCTGGAAGGAAATCACTATTGTGCAAGTTGTCACCCTTCTGCTCCTAGCAAAACATCCCCCTATGCTAATGGCTCTGGCACCTTATTAAGTGCTTGTAAATGGTGACACAAAAATGCCTCAGATTTGCTAATTTTTATTTAACTGTTAGTACCCTGGAAAATACTAAGAAACATCTCTCACTACAAAGGGAAACATAAATGTCAGGCTCTTAATACTTCAGATTTAGGAAACTTTACCTGTTAAACATGGAATTCTTTTTCTGGAAGGAAAACAAGGACTGAATTTTTTTTTTTTTTTCCCTCTTACTTAGAATATTTGTTGAAGTAAACTGGAAGTGAGATTAAATTCTTCCCCTCCCAGGAATCTGTTGTGAATTGACTTCACCAAGAATGAAGATCTAAAAATACCACATTTAATAAAACAGTGACATCCAAAAGCTTCCTGCTGCCATATGCTGGAAAGCCTTAAGCATACGGCAAAATATTGATGTTTTTCTGCTCAGAACCAGAACTGAGAGCAGTCGAAAGTACAGCATTGGTAATTTCTAGGCGCATCTTAACATTTTACGAACTTGATCAAAACTAAATTACAATGACATACAAAGCAGATCTTTTGCATTCAGTGGCTTGAACCATTGTGGATATGCCACAGTCATACCACTATGGCACTAGGAGAGCCCAGCATACTTGGAAAAAAGTGCAGGCTTTATGTCCTTGGGTGGCCGAAGAGCACTGTTGCCTGGACAGAGAGTACCTTGGGATATTACCTCCAGCCCTGGCAGTCCTTCAAACGCAATGGCCACTGCAAGAAGCTAAATGAGCTCTTCAGTTGCAGCAGAAGGAACATTCCCATGGAACATGGCCAAGGTCTGTCCTGAGGGCCAGGCCACAGAGAGCTGGGTGAAGATGAAATGCCCGTCAGGCTGAGGGGTGAATGGCTAACCATTAGACAGGAAAGCTTGAGGGAACCAGAGAAATAGCACATCATAGAAGATTGAACGGTCCCTACAGACTGAGAAGCATGTTTTACAGCAGGAAATATGTATTACAAAATAGTTTTTATGGCCCAATCGAACTGTCTGATGCTGTGTGATACCTCTCATACCAATAAGAAATGAAACTCCAACTCCTTTTACATTGTCTGTCTTGCAGAGCTGTGGTACAAGTCCACTGGTGGCTCTCCAATGACCATGATATGACTACATCACATCTGTCTTGAACCCTTGTCTGGTGCATCAGTGCAGATTATGTTTCCATGGTAGCTGGATGTTGGAAACTCTTGGGTAAACAAGACAAGGCCTCACAGCAAGGTTTGATTGCAAGAGAGTAAAAACTCATGTAGGCAGTAGGCATATGAAACCAGCCATGATAATCACACAAAAATCTGTGTGTACAAGAACAAAAGAGAAAACAACTCCAAAAACCAGAAGCAGAAAAGAAATAAGCTACACAAGAATAAACACTAATGAACTAGTCACTCATTACTAGGATACCAGACTGGATGGCTACTCATGAAACTTCTTGTGTTAGCAGACAAAGTGTTTCCTAAGCAGCACTCTTTCTTTTTTTTTTTTTTTTTTTTTTTTTTTTTCTTTGGGGGGAAGATTTCTTTTTTTCCCCCCTGTGGTTGGAATGGAGGGGTTGGGTCTGTGCCTAAGAAGCAGCAGCCAAACGTCGGTCCTGGGAGAAACCCGAGTGG